AGAGCCCTTCTCAAACGAGACCATGGCTTGCCAAATCCCAATAGACAGACCCACTTTTGTTCACGAGCAGCATGCTTCTTCAGCATGTCAATTGTGTGGCCAATCCGACCACCTCGCAAGGAATTGCCCCCAATTTCTTATACAGCCTAATTGTCCCATGACAAATTTCTTAACTACTCCTTGTGATCCTACTAATAATTGGCTCATTAATTCAGGTGCAAATAGTCACGTAACCACGGAATTGGCGAACCTTGTTCTGCATTCCAAGTACACTGGCCCTGACAAACTCCTAATTGGTGATGGTTCAGGTTTGAAAATTACACATGTGGGACAAACTACAATTTCCACACAAAATACATCTCTTCCCTTAAATAACGTTTTATGTGTTCCTAGTGCTTCCAGAAATTTAATTTCTGTTTCTCAGTTATGCAAATCTGCCAATGTTATTGTTGAGTTTCATGCCACTCATGTTTTTGTGAAGGATCGCAGTACGGGGGTGATATTGCTTCGTGGACAAAACAAAAATGGGGTATATGAGTTTCCTGTTGTGAACCACTCTCAGTCACAACCAAGTGCTCTAGTGGGTGAACGCACATCTGTGACAGATTGGCATGCTCGATTAGGACACCCATCCTCAAAGGTTCAAAACAAAATCTTCAGTGAAATTAGTTTACCAATGACATCCAAGGTAGAGTCTACTGTTTGTGATCCATGTTTGTGCTCCAAAAGTCATAAGTTGCCCTTTAGTCATTCCACCATTAAGAGTCATGCTCCATTAGAGGTTATTTATTCAGATGTATGGGGCCCAGCTCCAGTTTCTTCAGTTGATGGTTATAACTATTTCCTCTTGTTTATAGATCTTTTTAGTCGTTACACTTGGCTTTTCCCTTTAAAACAAAAATCGGAAGTCTCAACAATTTTTCCAAAATTTAAAATGCTTGTTGAGAATCAATTTGGAACAAAAATCAAGAATTTTTACTCTGATGGTGGGGGTGAGTACATTGGCTTACGAAAGTTTCTCTCTGAAAATGGAATTTCTCATTTTACTACTCCTCCATATACTCCTGAATTAAATGGTATAACTGAGCGTCGGAATCGACACATAGTTGAAACCGGACTTGCTCTTCTTCATCAAGCATCTTTACCATCACGTTTTTGGTCTCATGCGTTTCTTACTGCTGTCTACTTAATTAATAGATTGCCTTCTTCTGCTCTCTCTTTTATATCCCCATTTGAAAAATTATTTCATTTGAAACCAAATTATTTAAAACTTCGAATTTTTGGTTGTGCATGTTACCCTTGGCTTCGGCCCTATTCGCAAAACAAACTTCAACCCCGGTCTCGTCAGTGTTTATTCCTTGGTTATTCAATAGAAAATCTAGGCTATAAATGCTATGATTCCAAAACAAATAAAATATTTTATTCTAGACATGTTTTATTTAATGAAAAATTATTTCCATTTCAATCATTTCAGAATCCTTCCATATCTAGTTCTAATTGTCAAAAATCCTTTTTAAATTCTAATCTTTTCTCCTTGGAAAATCCAGCCACTAGCATGCCAATCTCCACTTATGCACCTTCACCTATTGGGATTTCACCTCAATCCACGTGGTTCTCACCTCAGTCCACTTGGCAAGAATCTCATCCCCCTACTGTGAGTAATTCACCAAACCACATCTCTAATTTCCTGCCCACTGCTGTAACCGTCCCATCTACTTCACCTCCTTCCTCACAACCACCATCTCATCCCCAAATTCAACACTTACCTGCCTCACCTACAGTTGATACATCCTCCACCTCTACGACTCCATCTCAGAATCAACCATTATCCTTAGCCAACTCACCTCCATCATGCCTTGATGTCCACCCTACAATATCTTCCTCACCTTCTCCTCCACCAATACCACCACCCACCAGAACTCACCCCATGATCACACGTTCCCAAAACCAGATCTTTAAACCCAAGCAACTCTATCTTGCAGAAACACCTTGTTCTGAAATTGAGCCAACATGTGTAAGTCAAGCATTGAAAGATCACCGATGGAGGCAAGCCATGTCTGAGGAATTCAGCGCATTGGTGAGTCAAGGTACGTGGGATCTTGTTCCTTCTGCACCTAATCAAAATATTATTGGTTGCAAATGGGTCTTCAGGGTGAAAAGAGGTAAGGATGGACAAGTTGAACGCTATAAGGCTAGACTAGTGGCTAAAGGATTCCATCAAAAACCAGGATCAGATTACTTTGAAACATTTAGTCCTGTTATCAAACCGACAACCATCCGGACGGTTCTATCCATTGCAGTGAGCAGAGGCTGGAAAATTCATCAATTGGACATTAACAATGCCTTTCTTCATGGGAAAATTGATGAGCAATTGTTTATGCAACAGCCAGCAGGATTCATTGATCCTAATCTTCCACACCATGTATGCCGGTTGCACAAATCCCTCTACGGGCTTAAACAAGCCCCAAGGATGTGGTTCAGGGAACTAAAAGACTTTTTGGTTTCACATGGCTTTACCAACTCAAGGTCAGATTCCTCTCTCTTCATTTTTCATCACGCTGCTAATTGGCTTTATGTCCTAGTATATGTAGACGATATCCTTATCACTGGAAGCAGTCCTAAAGCTATTGACAACTTGATTACTGCAATGGGTTCCAAATTTTCCTTGAAAAACCTTGGTCAATTGGATTTCTTTCTCGGGGTGGAAGCTATTCAAACCAACTCTGGATTATTTCTTTCACAAAGGAGGTATATCCAAGACATCTTGCAGCGCACGGGCATGGAGAAGGCAAAGGCAGCAAGCACACCTCTTAGTTCCACCACTACACTTCGACAATTGTCTGGTCATTCACTCACGGATCCCACTGTATACAGGCAAGTTGTGGGTTCCCTTCAATATCTATCTCTCACTCGCCCAGATCTTTGCTTCGCTGTCAATCGGTTGTCTCAATTCATGCATAGCCCCACTGATGCTCACTGGCAGGCCGTGAAACGAGTTCTTCGATATCTCAATGGAACAAAATTTCATGGCCTTCTAATTCGGCCACAAACCTCTTTGTCTCTTCATGGTTTTTCTGATGCCGATTGGGCGGGTGATAAGGATACTTTAATCTCTACAACTGGTTATGTGATGTATCTTGGCTCAAATCCAGTGTCTTGGAAAGCAACTAAGCAACGAGCTGTGGCTCGAAGCTCAACAGAAGCAGAATACAGGGCTTTAGCAGCAGCTAGCTCCGAGGTTGTTTGGGTCTGCAATCTTCTTCACGAACTTGGTGTCTATCAATCCACACCACCTGTGCTCTATTGTGACAATCTTGGTGCTACATATCTCAGTCGCAATCCTGTCATGCATTCACGTATGAAACATATTGCTGTTGATCTCCATTTTGTTCGTGACTTGGTGGATCAGAAAATTCTCCGTGTTTCCCACATCTCTTCTAAGGATCAACTAGCTGATGGACTCACTAAACCATTGTCAAGCAATCGTTTCATTTCTTTGCGGTCCAAGATTGGAGTCACGGATGGTTCCTCCATCTTGCGGGGGCATGTTAAGGAAAGAATCAGCTTGTGAATCTGAATCTCCATTCAATTATTTCTG